GGGTGGGCATGGGACCAGCCCCACGACTCCCTGAGTCTACAAAAGGATGCTAAAACCAGAGCATGACGGTCCTCAGATGGCCTGTGGCTTGTCAGGGACTGTGCGGGTCTGTGTGGTGTCATCTCTGGCCTTTTAATGACCCTGTGTGGTTCCCATTCTATAGAGAGAAACCAAAACCTGGGGATGTTAGGCTGCTTGCTCCAGGTCACTCCAGAAATAATGACTTTCTGGGTCTGTGTTCTTCCAACCATGCTCACTGGAGGGCCTTCAAAAGCTTTAAGGTTTGGGACCCAGGGTTTTATCAACTAGTTTGCTTTGCGAAATAAAGATGCAAATTTGAAAGTATTACTAAAAGGAATAAGAACGCATTCCTTCAGATTCTTCCATAGACTACCAGGAAGACTGACCCTGGAAGAAGAGATTAACTTTTGGAAAGGTTGGGGGACAGATGACCAAGTTCAAATATAAAAGAGATGTCTCCAGTTTCTTTGCTTGCAGGAGTTTGGAAGCAAACTCTGGCCAGCTAAGTGCTTCTGGGGATCAGTCCAATGAGTAGGAAAGGAGGGTAGCTCTGGAGTCGGGCAGACTTGGACTCAGGCTGGGCTTCAGGTGAGTACAGGAATTCCCCGAGCCCAGGCTGGTGCTCTGGAAGGGGGGCACCGTGGGGATCCACCACAAAGGTGCCACAAGAGGGCACGGTGGTTCTCTAAGCCCTGGGGCTGATCCATCCTCATCCTCCCGCTTCCCTGCTGCATTTGCAAGCTGCAGTTTAGGCGACAGTCACCCAAGTTAGAAGCCCACCAAGGCATGGAAATGGCTGTGAGAGTCAGTTATTCTTTAAAAAGTGCTGAAGCAGTTTAACATGGCACAACCTTCTGGAAAGCAACATGGCAATGTGTAGAGAGGCACAAAAAAGCGTTCATACCCTTTGAACCAGAAATTCCACGTCTGGGAACTTATCCTAAAGAAATAATTCAAAAGAAAGAAAACACTGTATTCATGAAGCAGTTCTTTACAGTTTAAACCAATGTAACAGTGGAAGCAACTAAAATGTCTACTAAAATGAAAGAGTTCAAGTAAATGGTGGCAGAAGTCACCAGAGAAACCTTTATGCAATCATAAGAACTCAGACTTGTTAAAAGTGTATCATCATGTAGCTTGGGGCACAGCGCTTGCCTAGGACGCACGAGACCCTAGGGTTCATCCCCAGCATTGAAACACAAAATAAAGCCAAACTACATCACAATACAAAAAGCTTCTTGCACTACAGTGAAGAGCGAACAAAGGGGTGGGAGATGAAAGCAAGACCACGGGACACTCTCTGCCAATGTGCGAGGATGTATTTGCAAGCAAAGATGGGACAAGACACAAATGTCTATGGGTCATTTGTTTAGGTTGATGAAATAATGAGAAAAAAATTTTCCCCATACTTTTGAAATGCTAAAATGTTATTGTATTTTCTTTAACGTGTAACACATAGCCAAAAAGTAAAGTAAAAAATATTCTATTTCTTTAAGGTCAGTAGCGATAAGCACAAAAGAGAACAGGGAACTAGAATGTGGGAACAAATAAAACCAAGTTCAAATAGATGTATTTCATAATGGCTTCCAAGATTACTACAGAGCTTAAATTCAGATTTTGATATTCAACAAAAGCCCTCCCCCCAACTCTTTTTTCCAGCACTCAGCCTTGGTAAATTCAGATCATTAAAGAGCCTCTCTTGCCTATCTAAGATGCTACAGTGCACCACCACTGTCCAGCCAACACCTTCTGAGCCTTTCTGTCCATCAGGCACTGGACCTGCCGTATATCACAGCCACGCTCTTACCTACTGTGGGCAACAGCAGAGAGGCAGGGCACAGGAGGAACTTCAGGCTTCGGGTCACACAGCTAGAGCTGGGCCTTGGCCTGCAGTTGGTCTGACTCATGAACCTGTACTGTTTCTTAACCACCTTTCTCACCTGCTGCTATGCACAGGTTGGGTCCAGCCCAAGTTCAGAGTTCTGTTTGAGTGTTCTCAGTGGATCTCTTTATCATGACATGAACTTCCCTTCAGCGTTTAGGGGGTGCAATGGGACTCTTGCTGTTTGGTCTTACTTTATATTACTTGTTCACTGTTCTATCCTTGCATTTTGCACAGTGCTTGGCACCTGGAAAAGGTGAAAGAAGTATGTCCTATGAAAGAATAAATGGTGTAATTTATAATGTATAAGAGGGAAAGCAACATCACTGCCGGATGCTTCCCAGGGGCCCACCAAGCCTACTTCCTCCTGTCATCCCCTTCCCTCTTCCTCTGCCTTCACTGGCCCCCTCCTGGTCTCCTGCACACACTACTCTCCTTCGAATCTCAGGACTCCAAGCCGGCCCCGTCTGTGAAGCACACCCTTAACTCTGCCTGGCTCTTTCTCACCCTTCAGGTTTCTGCTCAGAGGAGACTACAGAGCTGCTTTCTCTGATCACTCCGCCTAAAGCAGAACCCCTCATCCTGCCCAATCAGGCCACAGGCTTCCAACAAAGTCCTGACTGTAGCCTGCTATGACACCTGCGAGTTTTTAGGAGGCTGGTGCTCTTAACTCTCTGAGTAAAAAGAGGTCCAGACAGCAGGGACTTCTGCCCTGGTCTCTTCTGCACTCCCAGGCACAGCACTGTGTTTGGCACACAGGAATCCAGCATCTCTTCCACAAGTGTATGAATGACTTGTTTGTAAATCAGGAGTGATTATCAGTAAGGATTGTTTAACTTCTTGGACAAGTCCTTAAGGAAAAAAATGATAGGGTTTCTAAAAAATTACCAGCCTCCTAAAAAAATTTAAAAGTCTACTTGGGGTGGGGGGGTGGGGGTGGCAAGAAAAGGAAACCTTTGAATCCAAATGGATAAAATGGAATGTTCTCTGGATACAGCAAAAAACTTAACCATCCAAGGCCTCAAATGCTTGCTAAACTATATACTTCCTTTAGCTCAAACTCACAGCACACCACTGTGTTCTGATTTATGAAATGGGCTTTAGGATCTAAGCTTCGGGAGACCAGACACCTGCCTTGCAGCAAGATGGACTGAGTTGAGAGGCCAAAACTTCTCTTCAGAAGTGTTTTCTCCCTCCCTCCCTCTCTCCCTCTCTCTCTCTCTCTCTGGTACTGAGGATTGAACCTAGGGCACTCTACCACTGAGCTACATGCCCAGCCCTTTTAATTTTTGTTAGTATATGGTTGCAATACATAATGATTATATTCCTTGTGTGGACTCAGTACATGTATATAACACATCTTAATTCTCTTTTCATTTCTTCCCCCTCTCCCTGACCCCCATCACTTGATCTCCTTCCCATTTGAGAAAGATATATCTCCTTACTTTGTATCATCTATCTTTTATTTTGCTCTTTATTTACATTTTGGGTTTCTCATGTAAGAGAAACTATGTGATATGTAACCTTGTGTGTCTAATTTATTTCACTTAACATTATGGTGTCAAGGTGCATCCATTTTCCTACAAATGACTCAAATGTATTGTTGTTTATGGAAGAGTAGTACACCACATTTCTTTATCCATTCATCTGCTGAGGGGCATATATTGCTTCCAAGATTTAGCTATTATGAAATGTGCCGCTATAACATGGGTATACATGTACTGCTGTAATATGATGACTTTAACTCTTTTGGGAAGACATCTAGAAGGAGAACAGCTGGGATGAATGGAATTTCTAGTTTCTAGCACAACCGCTGGTTGTACTAGTTTACAGAAATACTGACAATGTCTGAGGCAGGGTCTCATTAAGTTGCTCAGGTGGAACTTGAACCTTCATGCTCCTGTCTCAGCCTCCTGCAGTGCTGGGATTACAAGTGTGTACCACCTTGCTGGCTTGATTCTTGAGATCACAAAAGGGAAGCTCTTCTAAAGTGGATGAGTTTGCTTTGAGGGGCCTGCCCTATTTTATTTCATTCTGCTACCCAGGGTCTCTGGGACTCTAGAGCTGATTTTGTAAACTGGTCAGACACACAAAGGCTTAACAGGAGCCACCAGGGAAGCCCAGGTGCCCCCAGGGGCTCTATCTGTGCTTCAGCCAGCCATCTGGATTCTGCATTCCATCCAAGGCAAGAAAGGTGGGCAGCATAGTCCTGGAACTGTGGGATGCAAGGGCAAAAGGAAGAAGAGAACCACTGCCATAATGGGCCTGACCATAGCCTTCGGTGCATAATTTCCATCAAGTCCTCACAGTAACTCTGGAAAGGCAGGCATATTCTACCCTGCAGATGAAGACAGTCACTTAGAGTAAACACACAGCCTTCTTTCTGCAAAATGCCTGACAGCTTACCCCTAATCTCTCCCATTTTTCTCCTGTGGACAGGCATCTGCCCCAGCCAAGCAGCCATGATGTCATGAAACAGTGTTAAGAGGTAATGGCCAAGGTCCTCATCAGCCCCAAGGCTCCCTGATCTGGTTCCTATCAGCCTCTCCCCCGCCAGCCTCCTGACTTTCCACTCTGCTGCAGCTTCTCAGTGATGCCACAACATGCCTTTGCCTCCCTCAGTGCCCAGTCCATTGCTGTAGCCCTGGCTTAATGGCCACCCTCTCTGGTGCCTGTTCTCTTTGGGATTAGGGATTTGCCGTCATGCCACTTTAGTGACGATGGGGTCGGTGGAATATGCTCTCTTTCCCCTCTGGCCTGTTAGACCAATTCCTTGAGGGAGGGGCTATTTTTTCAGTATCCTTGTGCTCAGCCCCAGTAGGGGCTAGGAGATGCAATGACAGCTGCAGCGAGAAGCAAGGGGTCAGAGTGCTTAAGGGACTGGGCTCTGGGGTCAATGGGTGGCTGAGCACCTCACAGCCAGGGTGACTTTGAGCAAATTGCTTGACCTTTGCTGCCTCTCAGAGGCTTCCTCTGTGAAATGTGGCAACAGTGCTTAATTCCTAGAGTGGGTGTGAGAGTAAATAAGGAAACCCATTGCAAAAAACAGATATGAAGACGCCACTTTATAGCAAAGAACAGTCATTTATAGAGTAGTTAAGGAAGGCAGTGTTTGGGCCCTGCTCCTCTATGTCAGAGGCTTAACTGAAGCATTGTGGCAGGACTCTTTTGGACCCAGGACACATCAGCCCCAGCATGGGTGGTCTGCAGGAACCACACTGGGAAGTACCTCCTAGGACAAGCAGCGAAGGGCAAACTTGTCAGCATAGAGGTGGAGTCATCAACAGGATCCCCCCTTTTCAGAACAAGTCTTCCAGTGAAAGCTGAGGATACCAAGAACAGATACTACCACCCAAACAAACTGGCCAGTGGGGTGACAGTGCTTGAAGCAGCACATGAAAGGAAGGTGGCAGCAGCTGGGCATGCTGGGCCTGTGGTGAGTCTGTGGGTTTGCTCAGACAGCTGGGAAAATGGACAGACCCAAGACACATGGGCCCCACTTCCTCTGCACCCCACCCCTTGCTGTCGAGGCAAAAGTGCCATCTGGGGAGAGGAAGGTCACACAGCACGTCACTCCTGCCTTCCAAGATCCCAAAGTGAAACACCTCTGTCACTCTGGCACACAGATTAACTCACAAGATGCGGGCTAATAACCAGAGCTGGGTGCAATGAATTCCTCTAAATTATCCACTGATATTCACATCTCTAGGGAATGATTTTCTAGGAAAAGGCTGTGTTGCTTTCTAAGAAAGAAACTGTGATCTTACAAAGAAGATAAAATACCATGAATAGCGTGGCTGAGATCGCTTCCTAGAGCACCCGCTTCAGCAAAAAGTGCTGATAAGGGAAGTGCCTGCTCCAGTTGCTTCTGAGAACTCTCTGCTCTTCACATTTGCTTCTCCCACAGGGCGGTAAGATTCACAATTTCACTTGCGTGTGCCTAAATTAGCTAGAAATAGCCAAAATTAGCCAGACACTTAACATCATGCAATCTCTGGGGGTCCTGAGATCTCTGGGCTTAGATTTCATACCACCTTCACCACCTACACTGGCTGCTGTTCTGTGCCCAGTTCACAGAAGCCCTGCCTCCTGGCTTTGGCTTCCTGAGCTCAGGGCTCAGGCTTTTCTCTGCACTTCAAAAGTGGCCTGCCTGCAGCCACAATAGTGCCTGTGCAATGACATTCCAGCCCCTGCTTGCGAAAGGGTGGGAGGTGTGTGGGAGAGGAGCTCTCCACTGGTATCTCAGCTGTGTTGGAGGCAGGCTCTGGATTTTGACCAGAGCCCCTTTCTCCCTGGCCTGGAGAGACAGGTCTGGCACTCACTCACCCGCCGGGTCTTCTCCACGTCACCACAGGGCAGCCGCTTCACAAAGTCTATGCCCGTCAGTGGTGTGCCTGTTGGAGGCAGCAGGATGGAAGCGTCCATCATGAGATACTCCACGTTCATGGGCTTCATCTAGGAGAGACATCACAGGAGGCCTCACTGAAGGTCCTTCCCTTGAGATGGAGGAGGGCACAGGGGCAGGTGACACAGCCCCCGACCTGCACCCACACGGAATCAGGGAGTGCTGTCAACCTAGGTTTCGAATAGGACCACGCTTCGGGGCTGCCATAAGTGGGAGGAACAATCTTATTTTGTTTTCTAAATTGCAGATTTTTTCCTTAATTGAAGCCAGAGGGCCACAGAGCCAATTAGCACAGGCTGCCTGCCTTTTCCTTGTGGACACTTTTAAGTAGTTGCTGCCAAAGGCCTGAGGTCTGCTGCCCCAATCCCTGTGTCCACCAGCAGGGGTGGCAGAGCCCCATTTCTGCTCCACCCATACCTGCTGGCACTGCCGTTCCAGCAGCACTTTCTCAGCCTTTCTCTTTGGCTCACAGTCCCCTCTGCTCTACTCCCCGACTCTTTAGAGCCTTCCTAGGGACCCCTCACAGCTTGCCATGAGGGAGATGGATGCTGGGTCCACATACCTTTAGCACTGTACTGGGGGCACTAAGGGAAGTGAGGGAAGGATCAAAAGCCAAGGTTTGGCTTTATCAACGCCCTTCTAGCAGTGCTTTAGGGCCTGTCTCCACCTCATTTTGCTCAGAGGCTGATTTCCTAGGGACTCAGCTCCTAGGCCTGGGGTGTGTCGTCTTTGTATTTCTCTAGAACATCAGGCACTCGGCAGGACACATCATCATTTGATTAAAACAAAACCCGGAAAGCTCCCTAGAGTAGGAGGGAGAAGAAACAAATATTGTTTTTCGAACAAGTCGTCTCAATGGGCATTTCACACCCAACCTGGGCAGCAATGTGGAATGGGCCCCAATGCATAGTTGAAAAAAAACAAGGCTCAGAATTTAAGCAACCTACCCAAGGTCACACAATTAGTAAGCAAACAAAAGCAAGAGCAGGGTTTAGGAGTCTGAGCTTTTCCACCGTACAAACAGCACGTGAATGCTACATTTCCAAACAAAACCAAGCTGTGGGCGATTACATTGCAGAAGGGGGATGGAGAAATAAAATGGCAAGTAACCTCTAATCCACTGTACTCTGATTAATGGTCTGAAGAGTAGAAGTCTGAGCTGCCTTCTGAAGGGCTGGGGAATGTCAGGGGGCTGAGTGCATCGATGGCAGCAAGGTACGGTTAACAGCAGAGCATGTGTCACAAGGAGGCCTGGCCACTGCACTTGGTTGGGCTCTTCTGGAGCCTGGAAAAGGCTCCCCAGAGGCCTCAGGTGCACAGTGACAGGAATGTGGTGAGGGCTCTGCTGTCCACACCCCAGTGAGCAGGCTAGGAAGCCAGGGAGCCACTTAGCTGAGCAGCCTGCCCTTTTCTTTTTGACACTTTAAATGTTTAGGTTCATTATAAATGTCCCAAATTACTTCACACTTTGGTGAGCAATGTCCATGCAAGGATAATTTATCATCTCTTTATAGAGTGCCTGCTCAGGGATAGGTGCTGGAGATGTAGAGAGGAACAACAAGATAGAAAGCCTTGATCTCCTAGCCTATCACCTGCTGGAGGGGCCTGTGCTGGCAAAGCACGCCAGCACCTTCCGGTGGAGTGGGAGAGGCAAGGAAGGAGGCAGCGCCACACAGGGAGCTGGGCAGGGGGTCAGGAGGTGAGATGCTTTGCTGTGGAAGCCTGGCTCTGCCACTAAAAGCTTAGACAGATTTGGGGACATTACTTGACCTCTGACTTCCAGATTCCTCATCAGCAAAAAGGAGGCAATGACATTAGCCTTTGGTTGATATAAAGATTAAGAGATTTAATATATACAATGTGCTTTATACTCTTGGCATGCAGCAAGTACGCAGCTTAGACACCCCTCTCCTGAACCATTCAACCAAAGCGAACTTTTCTGACCCATCTCACAGACATAGCACAGGGGGAATGAAAGTAACCTGAAATTTTAGTGGTGATGGGGATCTACAGGCTCCGTCTTAAATGTACTTCCCCACCAATCTTTGCCACTCAGAGTCAGACAGAAACTCTGGGTTTGGGAGGCACACAGGTGAGTCCCAGCCCCTACTTACTGTCATGCTCCTGTACTCATCTTCAAACATGTCCAAAAAAATTTCTTCCCCCTAAAAACAAAGGAAGGGAGGAAGAGATTATTCATTTTTTTCCCCCCATAAACACAGTATTATAAACTCTAGCTCTCAGCTTTTCAGGCCATCTGTTTTTTGTTAGTGGGTTCTCGTAAATCACCAGGAAGCAAAATACACACGTGAACACGAACACACATTTGAATGAAAGACTGAATCTCAAATTGCACCATTCAACGGTTTTTCCTTTTTAAAAAAGCATATTGAGTTAGAGGTCTTCTGTCAAAGCAGTTAATTAGAAAGCAGGCCTGTAATCCCAAAACTCTGGGAGGCTGAGGCAGGAGGATCGAATGTTCAAGCCCAGCTTGGGCAATTTAGTGACTTAGCAAGACCCTGTCTCAAACTAAAAAATTTAAAAAAGGAATGGGGGTATAGCTCAGAGCAAAAGCCTCAGTTTTAACCCCTAGCACACACAAAAAATGTACATAATATCACCCACTTAAGAGAATGACAGAAGAAATAGGAAATCCTGGCTAAGTCATCATCTTAAAAATGAGAAGTTCCACATTTCTGAGAGGGAGAGTATAACTAAGAATGCTTAAAAATAAAATTATATGGTTTTTTCCGCTTGCTTCTGAGGCAAGCATTTGGGGTCTTATAGGTCTTCAGGCTGAGGCTCTGCCCAGGAGGTCCCCTTCAGAACAGGATCAGGGGTAGAAACTGGGTTCTGAGACCCACAAACCTGGGACCAAATCCCAGTCTACTTCAGAGAGTCTGTTTCCCTGCAAGGACAGCAAAAGAAAAAGAAAAACAAACCAACAAAGAACAGGCCCATATTGTTGGGTCATTCATTGTAAAGGTGAAATGAGTTAATGGACATAAAATGCAGAGTGCAGAGCCTGCTGCTCGGTTAGAGTTGGAAAAATGTTAGTGTGCACTGTCACTGCCATCTCGGTTAGACGATGACTGTTAGAGCTGTCTTGCCTCCTAAGTCCTGGGACACACACACAGTTGGGGTGGGAAAAGGCATAGATCAGAGATCTTTTTTACATTTTTCCAGTTGTTAGAACTACAGATGAACTTGAAGATTCTTGCATGGCACCAATAGAACTGACAACCCCTGAGAACATCCAAAAGCTTCAGAGACATTATACGTAGGGTGTAGGTGCTAGAGCGATATAGGTGAAATATATCTCCCAACCTGCGAGATGTCAGATATGCTGAGTTCGTATCCCTGGAAAGCAAAGAATGAATTCCAAGGAACAACAGAGGTTATAGTAGGAAAGGTTTATTGAAAAATAGCTCCTGAGAAACAGGAGTGGTCCCAGAAGTAGGTTGCCACTGAGGCCCTTTGTCAGGGGTAATTTATACAGCAAAGTCACAATGTGGGTAAAGCATGGGTCAAACAATAATCAACCTATAGGATTACAAGTATAGCTGCTTAGCTAATATTGATCCAATAGGGAAGTGAGTCAAATAGCAAGGGTACTTGGAAAGAACAGAGGCATTTTTGGGAAGGGATGGGTCCAGATGCTTGGTCATCCACCTGGGTGACTGATGTCCATCTGGACTTTACTGGACCAGGTTATACCAATCAGAGTACACTCTCAAGTTAATGTTTATCCCTGAGGCCTGGTGACTGCATCTTAATCTTGAGGCCTGGCCTTCAATGGAAGCGCCTCCAACCACAGTTTTGGTGTGCTTTTGTCTCTTGCACTGACTCTCTCTCTCAAGGACCCATCCCTGTCTGTCTATTAATTTCTGTCTAACTTAGCTGCCTATAATAGGATAAAAGCAAGAGAGAAATCTGTATGCGAGAAGGGAATTGAAATTTAAATGCCTCTCCTTTTGTTAATAGAAGAGAATCAATCTCAGGGAAAATGCCTACCTCTACATCTTTCTGGTTTTGCAACCCCAAAGCTTTGGAGAATGAAGGGGGAACAAAATTTTTTGAGCAGCAATCCTGGAAAGACAGTCAAAGACTAACTCAGCTATGGGGTTTCTACTTTGTTCTGGGCTTTTCTAGAAGGGGTATGTCCCCACTTAAAGGCCAAACTGGGACTTCCTCCTCAGTGCATGGTGCCCACAGGGTGCCCCCCTTGTCTGGGCATGTCATTACTGTAGCTCGACGGGGTCAATGGAACCTGTTGAGGTGGATTTCCAGATTACAGGACCTGGTTTTACCTCAACAAACACTGACAATAATGGATTGTGGCTTAAAAGATTCCTGAAATAGCAGTTTTAAAAAAATACAAATAATGAAAGCACAGGTGAGTGCTTTGTGGCAGCACTGACATCTTTCCCCTAGCTAGGAGGATGTGCATTAGCCTCTTTAAGGGGGGAATCATCACCAGTAAGATCTGAGAAGATCAGATATAGAGACCAAAATTCAGAAAATTACTAAGACTGTCTGACAAATGGATTAATCCACCATGGCTGACAATGATAGGCCTTGCCTAAGGGTAAAGTCTGAATGTTTATGTCTCTCCAAAATTTGTATGTCAAAACCCAACCCCTAGGGCGATGGTGTTAGGATGTGAGGGTCTTTTAGGGGTGATTAGATCATGAGGATGACCTTACAAAAGAGGCCACAGAGATTGTCTCCCCTTCGCACCACGTGAGGACACAATGTGAAGATGCCATCTACAAGAAAGCAGGCCCTCCCCAGACACTGAATCTGTCTTGATCTGGGGCCTCCTAGTCTCTGGAACTCAGACATAAATCTCCATTGCTAGTCAGCCACCCAGTTGATAGTATTCTATTACACCAGTCCTAATAGACATATGCCTTAAGAGCTAAGCAAAACTGGACTGAGTATCTCAGTGACAGAATCCTTGCTAGCATGTGCCAGGTCCTGGGTTTGATTCTCAGGATTACACCAAACAAACAAAATAACCACAGACACACACACACAATTTGATATTTTAGAATCATCTGGAACAGAAGATAAATCTCTACAAATCCTTCAGATTCTGAAAGTCATAGTAGTGCTTTATAAAATCTCCCTATACCTAATATAAAAGTTCAGAGGCCCTCCTGGGGTTTCTTAGTATATATGCATATAATTAATATACATGTATATAAAATCATAAATCACTCATAAGTAAATATTAGCATATGTAACTCATGAACATAAGTTCCTCAGGTATTAGTCATATGTGTATGACTGTGATTTACACATAAATTCATAAATACTCATAAGTAATTGATAAACAAATTGTCGTAAACTAGGAGTCCTCAAAAAGTTTACAATAAGAGAGCATGAAAAATTCAGACACCACTAGCTGGGCATGGTGGCACACACCTGTAACCCTAGCATGCTGGGAGGCTGAGGCAGAAGGACCGCAAGTTCAAGCCTAGCTTGAGCACCTAGTGTGACCCTGTCTCAAAATAAAAAGTAAAATAAACAAGGGTTGTAAATGCCCTGTGTTCAATCCTCAGTGCCAGGAAAAAAAAAAAAAAGCTCAGAGATCACTGCTCTGGAGAATATGAAATCGAGCATTTTTATTCAGTGATCACAGGTACAAAGAATAACTGCAGGCATATAATCTTCCAGTGTCCCCTTCTACAAGACACCGTAGACTTCCAGTCACCTTATAGAAATGCCGAACCAGGTGGACACTCTCTTCTCTCGCGCCCTGTTAAGAGAAAGAGCATGGTCTTACCGAGGCAAGCAGGTCAGGTTAGTTACCAATTCTGCAAACAGAGCGCATGTAAAACAGATGTTGGGCTAATATCCTTAATATATAAAATGGTTCCTAATGACAGTGGGAGGAGGGGTGGGAGGCAGAACTCAAACTGACAAAGGTGAGGCAATGCAATGTGATTAAATTAAATGTGTGTGTGGGGGTGAATAAGTTATCACAGATGGCCATCATGACTCCACTTTTACAATATACAGAATTATTTTCTAAGGGTGTATGCATATATGTGAGTGAACCTGCACAGACACACTCAAGTGTCCACTATAGTTATTACTTTTTACCTCCTTGTACTTCCTAAATTTTCTTTAAAAACATGGAAATAAGGGCATGTGGACAATACAAACTATCAAAACTTAATAAATTGTAGCACAGAAACTATAAGTAATGTGTATATTTGTATATGTATGAAAGTTTCACAGTAAAAAAGGAACAATTTAAAAATCCTGGGAGCAAAAACAGAACCAAATAATTGTAACAAGCTACTAAAATCTGAAGAATAAGTGGATTGTTCCTTCAAGTGAGTCTCAGCTGAAGGGAACTTCCTCCTGGACAAGGGGAATGGAGGGAGCTCCAATCTGGACCCTTCTTGACCTCCTCTGCCCTCTGGGCCCACGGGAAGGGGGAGGGGAGTGGCCTCACCTCCAGGCAGGCCAGGTGGACGTCCTTTATGATACAGCTGGAGCTGGTCAGGACTTGCTGCTTCAGGAGCAGGCAGCTCAGCTCCAGCGTGGCCAAGCGGATCTTCCCATCTGTGGAACAAGCAAAGTCAGCCTTGCAGCCCCAGAAACAGTGCCCCGGAACACAGGCTCTGGCCTGCCCTGCTGTGAGCCTATGGGGCCCGACCCAGTGGGAACAGAGGGAGCCCCTCTGCCAACCCCCTTTCCAGTCAATTACCATGTTATGGTGTAGATCAGGCATGCACCCCAAAGGGCTCGCATGCCTACAGACAGGGCTTTGGGACGTAATTAAGTCATGGGGCAATTCAGCTGACTTGCTGTTAGGAGGTGAGGTCTGGTCCAAAGAGGTGGTCACCGGGGATGCAAGCTGGAAGAGTCTCTCTCCCTTCCTGGCTGCCATGACTTGAGCAGCTTTCCTCTGCCAGACCCTTCCACCCTACTCTTCCTGCCTTGGAGCCAGCTGACTAAGGACTGAAATCTCTAAAAACCATGAGCTCAAATAAGCCTCTCCTCCAAGTTGTTAGTGTCATGTGTTGTGTCACTAAGGCACACCAAATAGATCTCTGAAGTCCCTTTATCAGGGAGAGGGGATGTGGAAAAGAGGCTAAGTGTTCCAAGGGCCTAGGAAGTAGCCCTCTGTGGGCTACTGTTGTTTCTGTCTTTCCACATCTCCAGGAATGACACCCGTCTTTCCTCTGAAGAAACCCCAGCACCACCCTAGCCATGTGATTTTTGGTGGCACTGCTCCCCCTTCCAGGGGTAGGCACATCACCCAGGCTGGGCAGGGTGTTACATTCCCGGGGTGGCAGTGATTGGGTGAGGACAGTTGAGGAGTCAGTCAAGGCCAGTGAGGTTTAATTCTATGGCTGGCTGGAAGCAGGGACTGCTGAGCAAGAGAGTCTGTCCCTGCATTGGGCACGGAGAAAACAGAAACACGGTGGGCCCTGAGGGGCACATGTGTTACAATCCACTGCAGCCACCTCCTCACCTGGCCAGTGTTTCCAGTCTCCATGAAGTACTCTGCAAACAGAGCTTTGAGATCTCCCTTCCAAAGTGTCTGCCACAGAGCATACGCAAAGCTCCAGAAGAGAGGACAGCTGGAGCTACAGGAGGTTACCCTGCCAACTCAGAAGATGGCAGAATCCAAACATAGTCCTGAAAACATTTGACCCTCTAGATCTAGATGCACCTCAGGCCAGACTCTGGCAGACTTTACCACCAACACAGCTTTGCTTCTGCTTGTACTGTTTACAGTAGTCTGAGGTGGGTTCTCTACTAACTGTAACCAAGTTCTGACTGACACAGCTTGGTATGCTAACCTACTGTGAACTAGGCATGGTGCCAGGTGCTTTACATACACCTTCACAAGAAACCTCTATAAAACTCATTGCAATGGGTGCCTCTATAAACTGACACTTAGAAAAGTGAAGTTACTTGCCTAGGGCTCACAACTGGACAAATGGCAGACTTCAGGTGCTCTACAGGCCAAACCTACATCTGCCACCTCTCATAGAGGCATCTGCAGCTGCTCAAAGAAGAACTGCTCTTATGCAAATCTCCTTGTGACTCTTTAAGCTTATTTCGAGGCAAGGTCTTGGCAAGAAAAGAGTGAGGGAGGACAGGGTCTCCAGACCATGTCTCTGAGCATGGAGGTATCAGGGACCAGGATGGGCCACTGGGGAAAGCCCCACACAACTCTCTGCTTGGCCTTTGTTAATGTCTTAAAAGTCAGAACAAAACACACGAGAAGAGTAAATCCACGCTCAAAACTGAAAAGCTACATGCACACAAAATAGGCCTTCCTAAGCAGGGTAGAAAACCCCAGGAACAACACTGGGAAAATGTTGACCAGTCTCAATGACCTTTGCTGGCCCCGTGACTAACACCCTCTGATCACTGCTGGGCCTCCTCAGGTCTGTGTGCCTCTGAGCAGCCTTACTCCTGCCTGCCTCTGTGCCAATTCCCTTTTAGGCTCAGCCAGCCAAGCCTGCCTGCTATTACACTGTCCCTGCAAGGACTTCTGCTGTAGCCCAAAGGGAGGGGAATGGGATCTTCCACCCCAAACCCTGCTACCTTTGCAAGTTCCTGCCAAGGAGCTGACCCCTATTCCCTTTGGGTCACCCAGAGAGGAGGGCTGCAGACACTGGAAAAACTGGCAGAGAGGGACTGGGTGTGGAGCAAAAGAGATGGTTTCAGGGTTAGGGGACAGAAAGAGGAGACTCAGATAAAGACACAGTTGTAGCAAGCAGGAGGGTACTGGTGGCCCAGGACATGGCACAGGGAGTAAGTAAGATTTGCCTGGATTCTTAGAAGGGCCAGGTCCAGAACCCTGGGGTGTGGCCCCAGTCTGGGGACCCAGTCCCTCTGACTCCACAGCCCCAAGACAGACATCCCCAGGCTGGCACCTGGCTGGGCAGCATTGTTCATGATCCTGATGAGTCTCTCAGCCAGCAGATGGTTGTAGGTGGTCTTCTCAGCCACATTTGGCACCGGTAGCTGGATTCGCTCTAGTTTTTCAGGATCCATGCCTAGAATGGGAAACGGAAAGATGTGAGCAGAGACACCTCACTCAGATACCTGTCCCCCTTCCTAAAAGGCCTATGGAGCAGGATTTCCTCAGCACCCCACTGCCCATCTTTGTGATTTCTTCAGTCCTGGCTGCTGACTGTACTGCAACTTATGTCCAAGCTTTCTGTACACTGAACTTCTGTAAATGCATTAAAACACATTTTCTACTACTACTTATAAATGGGAAATCAGCCCTGATGGAATAATTGCGGTAACTATAAAAAAATTGAACAATGATTTTACATTCTAGCCAGTGATTGGCTCTACTCTTTGTGGCCCAAGGGGTGCTCTGTCTTGGTTAAAGAGAGACTGGCAGGCACTTATCAGTCTTCAGGACAGCCCAGCACCAAATGGTGACACCCTTCTAAACCAGTGGTGGAGTGTCTACGTCATGTCTGTTAACTGTGTTTTTCTCTTAAGACAACAGATGCTAATGTATGAGTTGTTGTTTTCTAAACTAGAACCTCAGTATTCAAGGTTTAATTGCAGTGTTGGCACTTTGCGGTAAATGAGTTTTGGGGTGCAGTTTGGCGCTAGGTCTCTAAAGGTTCACCATCAGGGTCCTAGACATAAGAGGAAATGAAAAAAGGAGTAAATTCCAGCACCAGGTCTGTGTGCCACCTGAGGCCACATCTGTTTTAGGCACATTCACACCTGGAAAACAAAGACCTAGAAGAACAGACCAGACATACAAGATCCCACTCAGACCATCACACTCACAACATCAAAGTCAAAGAGCTGGATTGCACCCTCAAAGCTCACTCAAGGGAGCCAGGCATGGTGGCGCATGCCTGTAATCCCAGAACTCAGGAGGCTGAGGCAGGCAGGAGGATCCCTTCAAGCTGAGGCCAGTCTGGGCTATACAGCAAGACCTTGTCTCAAACAAAACAAAACAACCCCCCCCCCCATACACTCAAGGGCACTAGGTTCCCAGCTGGGTGGGGCAGACACTACCCTGCCCCCAGCCCGGGTAGCATGAGCAGAAAGGGACTAAGCTACACTTCAAGTATAGACAGGTGCACACACAATGAAACCAAGAAAGCAGATCTATTACCAAGGAATCATTTTTTCTCCATTGAAAATTCAACAGTCTCTCTCTCCAGTGAAAATACAAAACATTTAAAAGACAAAAGATGAGATGGGGCTGTGAGAGGTGAGTGGGGAAGTAAAGATGGAACGCCCGTGTCTATACCTGTCTATAGTCTATACCTGTGAACCATGTCAGTATTTTTCATAGGGAAGAAGCTGGGAGCTGGGGCGGCAGGAAGACTGGTCAGGGCTAGCAGAACAGTCCAGGCTGGGGACAAGAGTATTCAAACTCCTATTCTCTCACATAACACGGCTCTTGAGAAATATGTGAGTAGAAATAAACATTTTGCTTCATCCAGTCTTAGAGACCCCAGTGGATTGTTTGTGCCTGACACACGCCTTTTCCTGTTATTCCACAAAAGGGGGGACGGTGGCACTTCTCGGAACTCTTGAAATATGGCCCCTTGAGTACCAGATAACACTTCATTTAGAACCCTGACAAAGCAGCGAGGAGAACAGAGGAGAGCCGACTGTCCGGGTCCTAAGTACCTCCTACACACGTCGACCTAAGAAGCCATACAGTATATCTTGCTTTACTGAATCCCTTCTAGCTCTGAGAGAGAGGCTCAGATACGGAGGAGATGACATGGGTGAGGGAGGGCCCAGTTGGTAGGACTCTCTCACACGGCCCACAAGTCTGGCCAGGTCAAACAATTTGAATGTGGTGAAAATTTAATCTGTGGTTTCTGTGTCCCATTGTGATGCTAAGTGTTCAGCTCTGAAGTACTTAATGGCAAGAAGGATGTCACTGACTCTTTCTGGTATTTGTTTTTCCAGAGATTCAACAATGTCAACAATGTCCTGACATCTTTCTATCCTTTATAAGCTGTACTCAGTGGTCTGGGGGAAAAAACCAGTTCCTCTGCCTCCTCAGCCTTGTGACCATCAGTCATTCCACTTCATTCCCTCTAGAATGTAGCAACGGCTGGCAGAACCTGAGGGACAAATTGGGACCCAGGCTTGCGTTTGCATGGGGAGGCACACTGGTCCTATTATCGCTCTGCCCTCACCTTAGGATTTCTGGAAAATGAGGAAATCTACAGCAAAATCTTCTTGAGACCGGAAGAAAGACTCTCGAGGGTATTCCTGATTTTTCTCAATGGGTGGCTCCAGCCTCTGTGGAGGGAGGGTCCCAGGGCACCAAAACACTTCAGATCTGGCCCAGAGTCTGAACCCAGCACCTTCCTTTAGTGAGGAAATTAAGACACAGAGTGGTTATGTACTTCCTTTGGGTCACAAAGCAAGTCAGAGGTACAGTTCAGGCCACCTGCAGATGACTCCAAAGGTGGATAGGTCCAGATGTGAGGGGTGGTGGCACTACCGCTGCAGTGAGCTTGCTGTGAAAGCTGTCCCACGTCCACCTCTGTGCCTGCGGGCTCACGGTCTGAGGGAAGGGCCCAGTGCAGGGTATGGGAGTTTTGTCTTGATACTTAGGCCCATTCGAACCTCAGTCTCCTCACCTGTGAAATGCCAATAATTGCATTAACCACCCATCTCAGGACAGGTGTCTGTACCAAATGAGAAAAAGCACACAGCTGTGTTTCGATAAATGTTGCTGCTCACTGTTATGCATGGGTGAGAACTTCTAGTTTGAGTGTATCTTAATGTGTTACAAAGCAGAGAGAGAGCAGAAAAAAAGCTAACAAAAGCTAAAATCAAGCTGTTGAGGTTCAATTTCTGCTGAACCATCTGGGGGAATTCTCTGGGCAGTTTGCTCAGGTGGAGTCTGAAGGATGAACAAGACTTTGCCGTGAGCTGGACAAGGTGGATCAGACCTTGCCAGGCCCAGGGAGGACTTCCAGGAGTGAAGTGGAGTTTGTAGATAACTCAGTAGAGGCTGGGGCAAAACAAAGAGCTGGATGGTGGCAAAAAAGGACAGGCAAGGGCCGGGGATTTAGCTCAGTGGTTGCTCCTCTTGCCTCGAAAGCTCAAGGTCCCGAGTTCAATCCCCGGTACTAAAAAAAAAAAAAAAAAAAAGGACAGGCAAGGCATGGGCAGATTCCCGGAGGAAGACTGATGCAGCAGCATCTGGTGCCAGGAGTTAGGGTTGTGCTCTGGCTGACTCTGTTGCCCCCACTGCTCATGGGGGTCTCAGTGCTGCCAGACCTTCCCCCAAAGCCCTTCCCTGAAACCAGCCCAGCACTATGCTACATTCCCCATCGGTGGTCTTACCACTGGCCCCAGGGACACCAAGGCAGGGTATGTTCCACACAACATATGCAAAACTGTGAAAACCTCTAGAAGTATTTATGTTCTTCCAGGCCAGATGGCTCCTTTTCTCCCTCCCACCACAGCCTCTAAAATGCCATGTTACTCTGAATTTTTTACGCTTGCCCTCAGTTTTCAAGGTCCCTATAGCAGCCCAAAAGCTCCAGCCAATCCCCTGGACCAGCCATCTTCAAAAGGAGCCGGTGGCCCTGGCCCATCAAGCGTGTTTCAAGTAGACTTCTTCATTCACCAAAGTACTCAATGAAAACAAACAACAAAAAATCCAGGTCTCTCTGGGTAAAGATGGGGTACATTAGGGAGGGAAGAAGGGAGGATTCTGTTACCAAGACAAGCTTGGGGGGAGGTTAGGGGTTGGGGTGTAGCTCAGTGGTAGAGCACTTGCCCAACATGTACAAGGCCCTGTGTTCCATCCCCAGCACCAAGAAACAAAAAAACAAACAAAACAAAAACAAAAACTCCACATAGCTGGGAATAGTGGTGCATGGCTGTAACCCCAGCATTCTGGGAGTTTGAGGCAGGAGGATTCCAAGTTCAAGCCCAGTCTGAAAGACTTAGCGAGACCCTGACTCAAAATTTTTAAAAAAGGAGCTAGGGGGGCTGGGGGTTTAGCGCAGTGGTTCTGGCACCTGCCTCGCAAGCGGAAGGACCCGAGTTGGATCCCTTGTACCAAAAAAAAAAAAAGGAGCTAGGAATGTAGCTCTGTGTGAAGACCTTGGGTTCACTCCTCAATACTAAGAGAAGGAAGGAGGAAGGGGAGGTTTCTTCATAGAGCAAGCACTGAAGAACTGTGTATTATGTGTAAAGCTGGGTTTAATCCTTGAGACTCTTGTAAAATAGGTAATATGATCTCCACTTTATAGATAAGAAAACTGAGGTTCAAAGAAAAGAAGTTTGGCTGAGGTCATGCAGACAGCAGAGTGCCTTCTACTCCCTGTCCTTTTCCACCCTCCCTACTACACTGCACAATTCTTGCTTGTTAGTTTTTTTCTTTCCACTTGTCCAACCTCTGTGTATCATGGTATCTAGCAGTAGTCTTGGCAGGAACTCCACAAATGTTTGCTGAATTAATTTTTATAGGAGTCAACTAATTTTGATCAAATTTAGCCCATTACAAAAAAGGGGGACAGAAGATCAGACAGATTTTAAAAGTAGGGGAAAATATAATCAAGTAGGTGCTACAATATGGCAGTGGTAAAGAACAGCGCATCTATTATCTACGTGGCAGAGGCTGAAAGGAAATACAACAAAATCATCAGCAGTTGGTCCTTATAAAGTAGTAAGTATAACCACAGGCAATTGAACAAAATTCTCATTCTCATTTTTGTTTCCTATAACAAGCATTATACCATCATCACTATTCTTAGGAAGGCATTTAATTTGTGGAAAAATATTTGATTTGGGTTTTGTGTGTGTGTGTGTGTGGTACCAGGGATCAAACTCAGGACCTTACATTTGCGAGGCAGGCGCGGTGCCACTGAATTAAATCCCTGCCCCTGATTTGGGGTTTTGTTTTGTTTTTGGTACCGGGAATCAAACTCGGGACCTTGTGCTTGAGAATAACAATCATAACTTTCGTGGGTTTTTTTGTTGTTGTTTTTTTTGGTTTTTTTGGTACCAGGGATTGAACTCGGGTCCTTGTCCT